TATCAACTATCTCAAACTATCTAACCATTTTTCTTCTTGTGAGCACTTCATTTTTTAATTGTATTTTACCTATTTATTTATTTTTTATCTCAATTCAATTTTAATAATTTTAAAGAAAACTAGTAAGATTTAAGTTATTTTACTTTAGATACAAATTACAATTTATATATTCAATTATATTTATAAAATTTCAATAATAATAATATAGATTATATTAAAAAAATTTATTTTAGTTATATAAAATCATTTGGAATGCAAAAAAAAAGGAAAATACTGAGTGACACGTTCGCTTTTGAATTTTGAATATTATTAGTACAAAAGTATGTTTTTCACATTAAATAGTTTTGCTTCAATGTAAGTCAATTGTCTTTATCACATGTAATAATAGTTGATGAAGAACATAATTATGTTCCTTTAAATTATGATAACTAGTTATTTCATATATAAATATATTATGATATTATGATTTGAAACATGTGAGGAATTGAAAATATTGTTCAAGTACTCTCTTAAGCTGTGATTTTTTTTTAAGTTTTAACTAAATAACTAATAAATTTGTTAGTTATTAAAATATTTACCGACTCCTGTTACTAAAGAAATCATAATTTATTTAATATTATTTTTTCAGAATAGGTTTAATCTAGAATTTAATAATAACTTCTTAATTTAGTTATTTATCCTATATTTATTTGTTTTGTATTAATGGGATGATTTTTGTTCAATAATGTGCATGTTTTTTATAATTTCTTGTTCTCTTAAACTTCATCAAACTTATCATAAATTAAAAGTAACTAGTAAGTTTTTCTGTGCGAATAATTTGAAGGAAGAAAACACCAATTTGAATAGACTGAACATGAACAATTATATTATACGATAAAAAAATTCATCAAAACGGACAGAAACTGTGACTGTATTTTTGTTTGTGATAAAATTTATTATTATTTTTATTTTGTCGTGGCATGCGAATTTTGGATAGTATCGAATCAAATACAATACGTTACCATTCAATTTTCAAAATTATAACCTTTTATATTTTTTACATATAATATTAAATATTTTAATTGTGATGGATTATATGTAGAAAATTTTGATATTACATGATCAATTAACTTTGCATTGTGACTCTTTTGTCTATTTTCTATTTTATAAAAATGAAAAATATCATTAAGGATAAATCATAATACATATTTATTTGATTATATATGTTCATTATTATTTGATAAATTTAAAGTAATTTTAAAAATTTTTGTGAAAGTAAAGTTTAAATAAATAATAAATCAACCCCTAACCAAAATTAAATAATGATCATAATTGATATTATAATCCGACCAAAACTATATTATTTTTATGTTTGATTAAAAAAATCACTAAACCAAGTCACTTTACTAAGTAAATGTATTTCTTATTTGTTTTAGTTGACAATTTTTTATCTTAATTATTATTAGATAATTTTGGAGAGAATTGGTGTGATTGAACTCATTTCCATTGAATAGATGATAGTAAATATTTCAAAATTATAATTCAATCTAACAACGAACAAATTCCTTTAATTAAAAAAATTGAACTAGATTGAACTCACATTTTATATTGCTCTAAAATGACATTTTTCCTTTAGAACTTGTACTCCACCACAAATAAAACTGCATGCTACATTATGGATGACTCTTCTTACACCATAGGATAGTTAACATTTTTTTGTACTAGTATCCAACATTTTCATGATTTTAGGCATGACATTCTTTTTAATGCTTATTACTCTATTCTTAGCCTTGATAGCCTGCACAATATCCATAGTCAAGCCTCCTGTATTCCTCTTAGTCTCTTTCAAAATTATTTGTTTGAGTGAAATAATCCAACAAGACTTCTTGTCTTGGGAGATCTTCAACCAAATCATGAACTCAATTACATTCTTTGATTAAGTTTTCAAAAGTATAATGTAACCTATATGTTTTAGTTTGATCAACTTGATTAGGAATTTTAAATGGTTGTCGTAGTACTACTAATTCAAGATTGAAATCTTCTTTAAAGATCACTTTCTTGTAGGGAGTATATTACTTAGGTCTCCTTATAGAATATTGGCAAGGAGAAAAGAAACCATAAGTGTGACTAAGGCGTGGAATACACTTAGTGAATCTCAACCATTAATCTAGATCTAGGAACTTGAATTTGAATTTTAAATACCACTCTATTTTATCATTTGAATTTTGAACCAATTGACTAGAAATAGTTAATGTCTTTCTTTGTAAATCATTTCTAATTATATGAGAAATTGAGTTTTGATACATTTATTATTTATGAGAGTGATTATGTTTCTTTAAAACTTATCTTAATATCTTAGAATTCAAGCCACTCTCTTAAACACTTGTGTGAAGATGATTCTCAACTTATAGTGGTGTGTTTCAATTTTTTATTTTTCTTTGGTTACTATTCTTTATGTTATTGTTCTTGTTTTCTTCATTCTGACCTTCTTATGTTCTAGAATCTTTGATTTATAATCTCTAATAATTCATTTCATGATTCAAGATAAGAATAAGATTATCATGGTTTTATAATTTCTCGTTTTTAGGTTATTTAAGTTTTTAATGCCTACATATCATTCCTTTGTATGTTCTTGTATTTGATTTTTTTTTCTACATTTCATCAATATAACTTTGAAGTTTTTATGTATAAATCTTCCATCCATTTCATTTGTTGATGAGTTTAATTAATTTTGACTTCTCATCAAAACTATGTAATGGTTGAACCTTGGAAAATTATTCTACCATGACTAAATGTTCTTACAAAAAAATGATATTCTTATGATCAAACAATGTATAAAAGTTTATAAACATTTTGTGTCAGAGTTGAGATGTTGATTGAACTGAGCATTGAACACAACATTAAATGCTGGTAGATAAATATAAATTTGTACAATTTTGTATTACACTATTTCAAAATTACTTGTAAATATATATTTGTTTGATCTTTTCTCTTATTTTCAATTACTTTTTTTACTGTCTCTCTATCACATTACATATTACATTTATCATTTTATCACTACTTATTTTTCCATTTTTTTTTCTTTCCAACCTAATTCACCTCAAAAATAAAACAAATAGTTTTCCTTATTCGAATGACAGCACAATTTATTCTATAAAATTTTAATTCTTAAATATTATGCAAAGGAGTAATGTTTTAGGTTTTGTTCTGGACAGTTTGATGTGGTCCCCTTATAAACCACCACGACCGCCGCATCCCTTATGTGAAGGGGATTGTTGCCCCTTCACTTCCTTACTAACTTCTTTTTATTTTAATGTTTTTTCCATCGTCCATTAAAGAATAAACAAAATGCGATTGAGAATGACTCCATTCAATTTGGTAAACGGTATCATAAACAACGTTAGCTACATTTTTTCTAACAATGCTTTTTTTTTTTTGCTATTTACTAATAAATATTCCTTAAACAAATTTCACAAACGCTAATTTTTTAAGTTTTCTGCCACAGTGTAAGACCTTGAATTTTTCTAAGTTCTTTTCCCATATGAATCTATTTATCTTTCATCACTGGTGAGTTATAGGGTGTAAAGTGTGACTTATTCCACACCTAGCTGACTAGTCACTGTTTCTTCCTCCTGATGATATCACCGACTTAAAATATGACTGTAAATTTTTCTACTTGTTTTTGGATTCTATAAAACTGTAAGTTTTATTGTGATAGTTTGTGTTTAGTCATAGTTGCTCTTTGTCAAGTGCAATCATCAACTAATAATATTTAATATCTTCTAACATGTCAATAATAAAAGAGCTCAAATACGACAAAATATTATAAATTATGATTGTTTGCTAAACTGATCAAATAAGGTCAGCCACAACATCAATGATTAGATTTTTATTCATGATACTTTATCAATAAATTATTTGAAAAACAAGACTTGCTTGCAGTAGCACCCTTCTTTTTTTGGAACAAATAATTCTTTCTTCGTTTCAAAACCTATTTACCAATAAAAGTATGAAGATGGTTTCTTTATTCAGAAAACATATTTGTCTCTATTGCCTACAAAAATGGAAAATGTATGAGTGAGCACAATGCATTATTGGCAGCACCAGTGGGAACCAAGAGAGATATTCTGATTATTATTTTATTTAATCTCGTTTTCTTTTTAGTTAAATGTTTCATTAAACAAAATATAATCAATGAAGATGAACAGTGGAATTTACAAATTGAGAAACAGAATCTATGGCTACATACATCATAGTGATTCCACATGAATTATTCATTCGTGAACCTTCTTGTACGTATCTCACACATGCCACTGTTTACTGTTTTTAAAGAAAAAACGAACAGAAAAATTAGGCTATTTTGTTCCCAATGACAAGCCCTACCAGTGATGAATGTTTATTTATTATTTATTATTTATTATAAGTCTCTGCAAGGTCCCGCAGTCTGTTTCGTGATATTCAATCTGCACCACAACTTGCATTTACAGCATTGTAGTATAGTATGACTGCACCAAAGGTTGTTCTTGTTGGTTAAACTATTACCTAGAAAAGGTTATTTATCTGATGCTTTTAAGTGTCAAGTTGTTGATACCAATATATTGTTTACTGTTAATTTTAGCACTATCGACAGATTGGACAAATATATCAAATCTTTGAGATCCTGTAGATGAGTCGACCTGCTTCTATCTCGTTGCTTAGTTGTAAAGAAAAAAAGTTGCAAAACCTATATAAATCTGCATCCATGAAATGCCAAAACTTGTTGTGATTACTTTATATATTTTGTTCCTTTTGATCAGGCCTTTGGAATTGCCTCAAACACCCGTTTTAATGAGATAACACGCATAGATTGATTTGACGGATTCATTACTCAAAGAAAAAAAAAATCAGGATCTGTGTTATGCAATACTTGCTTATAAACAGAAATTTATTCCTTTGAGGAATCACCATTAACAAAATTCCCACAAACACGCATGGTTCTTCGAAACAACGAACCAAGTGAAATAAGGATATGAAATTGCTCGTGGTGAAAACTGTGAACTAATATTCAAACATCTGCAAGTGTTCATAATTAGAGTTTCGAACTGCAGAAAAAGAAAACTAGACAGCAAAAGCAGCAACAGTGGATTCAATTTGAATTTCAATAATTATATCTATGGATTCTAAATCCAAAGGGGATTGATCACTACAAGGTACTTCCAAGTTCCAAAAATAACACTCCTCCAGTTTGCGCGTGTAAGCAAGGAAAGCCACCCGTTCCCATTATCCAAAAAGTCGCCACGCTAAAAAAGAGAATAAAGAGAAAGAGAGGGAGCTATAAAAACACGTTTTTGACATGTTGGGTTTGGATTTCACATCTACAACGCCACCACGGTGGTTTCGCCCTTGGTGGTGGCGGCGATTTGAGAACCAGACGGTGGAGGAGCCACGACTTGCTTCTTCGACGCCGTCACAAACTTCTCTTTCCTCTCGTCCTGGATCATCTGATGCTGACGACACTCCAGGCTGCAGAAAGCATTATCACCCCTACAAATTAAAAAAAAAAAAAAGTTCCAATTATACAAATAAAAAGAATCAGAAGGAATTCAGATTTAAGAAATAAATAAATAAACTATGGAGATAACGGGAACAGTTGAGAATGCAACAGAGTTAAACCTGTACATGTAGATGTCTCGACCGGGTGCGAGACGGCCTTTGCAGAGGGCACACGCGCGCAGGAAGTGTGGTGTGTCTACGAAATCCGAAGAATGTCTTCTGAGACTTTTTGGTGTTAACGCGCCGCCACCAGCACCGCCACCAGAACCTGATCTCCGTTGGTCGGTTGCATCGGAGGCGGCGGCGTTCAGATCCAACGTTATTTCGGACATGCTGGTGGTTCTCTTCATTGGAGGACGAGGTCTCTTACCCAGCAACATCTTGGGTAATTTCGTTGTGCTCTCTCTCTCTCTCTCTATTCCTCTCTCTCTCTAAAGTTTCGGTTTGGTATGAGCAGTGAAGAAGAAGAAGAAGAGAGAAGTGAGTGAAGGAGGGTGAAGGTGAAAACAGTGGTCCGTTTGGGGTAGATAAATAAATAAAACAAGAGCCTGAAACCGAGGAGTGAAGCAACACCGTTGATTTTTACGTGATGATGCTCATGATTCATCAATCTTCGTTAATTGGAAAGGAAATCTCACGTCAACACTCTCTTTTCAATTCAAGTAAACTCTACTAAGGACTGTTTCTGTATGAGTTAATTTAAAGATGAACCAAAAAAATAAATCAAATAAATTTCAATTTCTTTTAGATTGACGATCATGACTTTGAAATTTTATTAATGCAATTTTATAAAAATACATCTAATGGACATTTCTTCTAGTTATTTAAAGTAAATTTACATGTTATTAGTTGTGTAAAATTACTTTTAATAATATATATTAAATAATGGTAAAATGCTACATAGTTCTATAATACTCAATTATCCTGCTGATTTATTTACTTTACTTTATTTACCCTTCCTTTCATTTATCTTTAAACTTATCAATTTTTTTTCTCATTTTTATAAAATTCAATATTAGTAATACACCTATATCAAAGAAAGACAAAAATCTTGTTACCAATAAAATAATGGACTAGAAAGAAATGGAATAAGAAAAGATAACTTTCTTTATATTTTTTTTTCTTATATGAAATAAGAAGAATGAATAATTAATATCAAATATTTAACATCTAACAAGTCCTATTAGCATATATAAAAATATTTTAGTTCTCAGATAAAATTTGTTACATTTAATAAGGGATATTTCAAACGGAATAATTTAATATTCATTTATAAATTAATAGGATATAAATATTATATTACTTGGGGATATTTATAAATATCTATGAATTTTAAAAAATCTAATAATATTTTCTTAATGCATATTCAATAAGTAACAAATAATGAATTAAATTTTCTAATACAGGTCGAATAATAATAGAAATTATCCATCTTCGACTCTACTGTAACATCCCTTCCATCTAGTTTAAGTACTAATTATTACTAGTGTGACATTTAAATAATTTAAATTTTATTCTTAAAATAATTGATGTATAACGAGTTTAAATTTCAACGACATATACATGAGTGATTGGATTATGCATAAAAAGAAACATTTTTCACTTACAAAATTATAATGTCTCTTTCATATAAGAAAAATATTTTAAAATATATAAAATTTAAAATTGATCTTTTTGCTACTGTTATATATCTTTCACATTTATTTTAGATTCATAAAACATATTGAAAATAATTTATTAGCTTATCTTCCTAAATCCTTGTTTTTCCAATTACAGTTAAATATTTATTCATTTGAGTTTTAAATATTTTTATTAATGTAGATAAAATTCTTAATTAGACATTTTTATAATATTTTATTTATGCAAGTAAGAATACTTATGTTTATTTTAAGTTTTATTATATTCTATTTTGTATATGTAAAATTAAATGAGCTTGACTTTTACATCAAAGAAAAACTCAATCAGTAATAAATTTTAAAATGAAATAAATACAAAAGTGAATAGTATGAACAAACACATTGAGTTGTCAATATCGTACCTAATGCATCAATAGTATACCATTTTTATTATATTTCTTTTAATTATCAAATGAAATTTTAAAGTGAGAAAGTTAATTTAATCAGTTAAAATCTATAAAAACAATTCTGTCAATAATTGAAATTACGCATCAACTATACTATGAGAACTAAAAAAATAACTATTTTTAGTTTTCTCCGTAGTGTCAAAATAGGGATTTGGATACTTTCGAGTCATAAAGACAGATGTCACTTTTCCTGAATCTGATTGGCTAGCCGAAGGTCCACGTCACTACGCAAAATATTGAAAAGAATTTCTAGATCTTTCAATCAATGACTTTATTAAAAAAATTGCATGACATAAAACGTACTTAATATTTAAGTTTTTCCCTTTTTAATTAGTATAATAATTTAGTTATTAAATTAATTTTTAGGTAAAAATTTAACACTAACTTTGAGAAGCTAATACCGGTGGGTTATCGTATGATAATGATTAACGAGAATGATTATTTCTTGATTTTCTTAAATAAGTATATCTATTATTACAGGATAACAATAAATGATATTTTTTATATAATTAATATATACTTTTGATTTCCTTTTTCAGTAATATAATAGTTATTAATTAATCTTGTTACAAGATAAATAATTAATGATTTTTTAGAAAATTAATGATATTTAAATAATAACAGTATTTTTTAATAATAGTATTATTAATAATATTATACTTTTAGAAAATTAATAACAGTATTATTAATTGTTTGAAGATATCATTAAATGAGTTTCTGTACAAATAAATAAATAAATAAGTTTTTATGTAATAAACATAATATACTTTCAGTTTCATATTCTAGTAGTTTTTAAAAACTAACACACTTTATAATATATTAGTTTGTTTGATAATTTAACAACTTCAATATAATTTCATGTGACATCTTCTTATGAAGGGGTAATTTTACAATATTGATGATTCTCACTTTCAATTTAATATATAAAACTTTTATTTTTTTTTCTTGTATGATACTCTTAACTTAATGTATCATTACAATCTCATCACGGTCTTCAATTTAATTTTTATATCACATCACATATCAACAATGCTAAATTGTTTCTTTCACTTTGAATTGCATCATCATTAATCATACTATAATTAATACATACATTGATTTCATGTAGTATCTCCTTAATTCAAATCATATAATCAAAATATAACACTAGTAAAAAATGTGTTTTTAAACTCGCACATTAGATCTCTGTTTACACCAAATCGCTGTCTATCCAGATGCGGTGGCAGTTTCGTAATTAAGGAGATCTTATAGGCCTCGTTTCAAAGAAGACCGGTGCAGAACAGTTCTACTACTTCGGTTTCAAAGGCAACCTGTGCCTAAATATATACTAACTTTCTAGGCTTTTCGTTTGAAATGGTCAGAAAAAATGATACTGCTTCGGTTGCACGCAGAACCGAAGCATAAAGACCTGCAACACGTCAAATCAGTCAAGTCAATATTAATAGGCACCGGTTAAATTGGAGAACCGAAACAGAAACATAGTAATATTACCTCTGTTATATTTTGAACCGAGGCCGTATAGGCCCAGATCCTTTCTCTTCGATATTACCAAGTGGGCCTAGTCACCTAATTAAGGGTAAAGCTTCTTTCCCTTGAACGCGCACCGCACCAGATCCTCCTCTTTCCCTGGCGCACCAAATCCCTTTCGGAGCAAACCCACTCTTTCCCTTGAAGGCGCACCAGATCCCTTTCGGAGCAAGCCTAGATCCTCCTCTTTCTCTTCAATGCGCACCAGTAGCCACGCTGTTTCACTGAAGCTTCTTCCCTTGAACGCGGACGAGCAGCGAGAGTGTTGTGATGGAGGTGAGTGGCCAATGAAGACGTGGAGAGACGCGATGAGGCGCGGCGAGGTCACATCTGAGAGCGGCGAGGCGCGACGAGGTCGCGTCTGATAGCGACGAGGCGCGGCGAGGCGCAACTGATAGCGGCGAGGTCGCGTCTGATAGTGGCGAGGCGCAACTGATAGCGGCGAGGCGCGGCTGATAGCGGCGAGGTCGCGTCTGATAGCGGCGAGGCACAGCTGATAACGGCAAGGTCGCGTCTGATAATGTCGAGGTCGCGTCTGATAGCGGCGAGGGGCGACGAGGCGCGGCTGATAGCGGTGAGGTCACGTCTGATAGCGGGGAGGCGCGGCGAAGAAGGCGGTGGCGCGTTGCGAGGAAGGCGGCAGCGGAGTGAATCGTTTTTCGATTTGGCATTTTAGGGTTTCTGAAATTTCATTTTCAGATTTGGGGTTTTTGTTTTTGGTTTTGCAACTTAGGGTTTCAGTTATTCATCTAATTTTGGGGTTCCAGTTGTGTTATCTGAGTTTGTTGAGTTTGTGAAACAGCGTGGTTATCTCCTCGAATTATTCATTTTGTTATCTGAGTTCTTGTTCATTTTTAACGTTTTTCTGTTTGGGGTTTGAAATTAAAATCTGAAATTGAAATAAAAAACGAAGTAGGCTAAAGAAAAAAAAAATCCTACTACCTCGGTTTAGGTTCTAACCGAGGCGTAGAGACAAACAAAATAACACAGTTTGGAACCGAGACAAAAAGGCTACCACTTTTTGCCTTGCCTGAATATGCCTCGGTTCAAAAACCGAGACCTATGAGTGAAATTAACCGGTGTCGTATCCTCTTCCTGCACTAGTGTAAATATATCATAATAAGGTTTTACATCAATCAATCTGTCAAAATGTAAATCATCTCTCTAACTCAATAATCTAATATAGCCAATAACAAATCCCTGCAGCAAGAACAATCATCTTTTATAGTTACCCTTTGAGACATCTCTCAAAGTACAAAGAATTTCTCGCTCTTCTTCCTAGCCGCAAGCACAAGGAACAACATAATCCAAGATTGCCAAAAATCAAAATCTGATCAGTCAAGAGTACACCTCAGTAGTGCAGTAGTTGATCAATAGTGAAAACCAAATATGTTTTTCAAGAAACCTTTAAGATTATCAACTTTTGTATATCTTGTTTCCTGGAGCGTCTGAACACACCTATAATTCTTTTCTCAATTCACAAATATCAGATATGAAAGTTTAGAATGATCAAAAAGTCTTGAGAGTAGTGTGCACTGCGTCAATTTAATAGTTTTCCCATAACAGATGCAATTCAATCGATTACGTAAGTAATGCAATCGGTTACATTATTTATAGTTGTTACAAAATTATAATTAAAACAGTGCTAATTGAATGTATATTTAGTGTAATCAATTGCTAATAAATGTTAGTAAAAATATTTGAAAATATGACCGTTATCACTGGTATGACTTAGCTTGAAAACAATTTTCAAAGAATAGCAAACTTAATTGATTACATAAACAATATAATCGATTAAGCTATACATTTAAACAGATTTTGAAAACTTTTTCACTTCAAAACTCATCACAACACATTTCAAAAATATGTTTGCAAAGACACGAGTTTTAATCGAGTATACACTTAATGTAATCGGTTAAAACTTGTTTTGCCACAGTTTAAAACATAAGCTGTCTGATGAACTCAATTGATTATAACATCAATGTCATCGATTATTTCATACAGA